AACTAGCTTTTCTGCATCAGAAACAGGTATCATGTTTCGTAACTTGGCAATGTTTCTAAGATGGAAGAATGCTGTTTTTTTAACATGGGAAATATGATTTTCAAAAGGCAAGTTACTATCTAATATAACACCCAGATTTTTGACTGTAGAGGAAGTAACAGGACATCCATCTAGTTGCAAATTGTAATCCAAGAGATTCTGTGTACTGTTTTTTGGTCCAATAAGTAATATCTTTTCAGCTTTTGCAATCCGCAAGGCTTCAGTGACTGAGAGTAGCGCAGTCTCAATTGAATGTCCACATCTGAAACCTGATTGGTTAGCGTCCAGTAGGTTATTCTGTGAAAGAAATGAGGATACCTGGTTGAAAACAACTCATTCAAGTGTTTTCGCTATGAATGGAAGGAGAGAGACAGGTCTGTAGCTATCAGTAAGTGAAGTGTTTAATGTAGGTTTTTTAGCAGTGGGGTTACCCGAGCCTGCTTGAATGCAGTGGGGAAGGTGCCTGTGAGGAGAAATGTGTTGATGATGTGTGTGAGTGCTGGTAAGAGTGTGGGAGAGATTGCTTGGAGAAGGTGTGAGGTGTATTGGGTCTAGAGGGCATGTTGTAGGATGGCTGGAGAGGAGAAGTTTGGATACTTCTGCCTCAGTGAGGGGACAGAAGGAGAAGAGGGGAATTTTAGCAGTAGATGTGGTTGGTTTGAGTTCCTGTGTGTGTGGAGCTGAGAACTGGCTGCTGATTGTTCTAGTTTTGTTTGTGAAGAATTTGGCAATGTCATCGGCTGTTAAGGAGGTGGTGGGGCATGGTGGAGGGGGACAGAGGAGAGAATTGAATGTTTTGAAGAGATTATGCATGTCAGGTGAGCTGTTGATCTTGTTGTGGAAATATGAAGACTTGGCAGTATGGACTTCAGCAGAGAAAGATGAAAGCAAAGACTGACACGTACTCAGGTCTGATGGATCTTTTGATTTGAACCAATGGACCAATGCTTACAAAGAACATCGGATAACCAGGGGTTAGAAGGGGCAGCCCATGCTGGCCTGGAGGAGAGAGGACATATATTGTCCAGACAAGAAGTTAAAGTGGAGCACAAAGTGTCAGTTGCTGCGTTCACATCCAAAGATGAGAAATGTGTGGGTGAGGGAAGAGAGGAGGACACTACAGAGGAAAGATGGGAGGGTGAAAGGGAACCGAGGTTTCGTCTAAAGGAAACTGGTAGAGGGGTTGGAGGCTCACAGGTAGCAAGATGTAGGTTAAATGTAATGAAGTAGTGGTCAAACCAAAATGTTGTCTGCAACACAATTGCGTGTGGAAATTATGTCCAGTTGGTTGCCAGATTTGTGAGTGCTTGTGGTGGTAAGGCGTTTGAAGGCAAATGAAGCTCCAAAGACTAAAAGTGGACTGCCATCCTCCGGGAATGAGGACAGCAGCTCATCCAGCTCCTCTAGGAAGTTGGCTAGAATTTGCCCAGGAGGCCGGTAAATTACCACAACCTGGAGTTTTATAGGAGCTGTTACAGTAATCGCATGAGATTCAAATGAGTTATAATTGCATAGGGGAGAGTGGGTTGAGTATTTCCAATTGTTAGAAATGAGCAGACCAGTGCCCCACCCCAGCCAACCTGACAGGGGGTGTGAGAGAAAGAGAAATTGTTCTGGACGAATCCAGGTCTCAGTCAAGCCCAAGATGCTGAGTGTGGATTGTAAAGAAAAAGCAGAAATGAAGTCTGCTTAGTTGACAGCTGACTGACAATTTCAGAGACCCACAGAGAAAGAAAGAGATACAGAGTCATTCAAAGCAAATAACCGTGTTAATGTTGCAAAATGATGAAACGTCTGACTTCCATTTCGGCAGATTCACTAGTCGAGTGTTTCTCATGTATTAAAGGAGCGTGTGGCCGAGAGCAGATTTTCCCTGACAAACACTCGAGCGAACACGTTTCTCTTCCCCTCTCACTCTGACCGCACACACTCACATCTCACCGGTCAGAAGCACTTAATTTATGATATGATATTATAGGAGAAATCCCTCAAGAATAAGCACAAAGTGTGGTGGGTGAAGCGTCCCCGAAGTCCTGGAAGTATGAGGTGTGTGTTCTTCAGCTGCAGTGATGTGAGTCTCGTCTTCTTTGTGCGTTCGGTGGCGACGGACACATGGAGTCCTGTGGCATCACGTCTGTTAATGGGCTTATAAAGCATGTGCTGCATCCGTGGCTCTGGAAGGGCTTGGGCGCAGTCTTCCGCTCTCCTCTCATACTGATTTCAACATCATTAGAGCCTTATTTAAGCTCCTCTGTTATTTCCCCTTCTTTCCTCAACCGTCTCAGCACTGGTTTTGTAATAAAGTTCATTCCTGTGCTAGTGTTATGGCCTCGTGTTGTGGGAGGATGAGGCAGAATCTGTCCTCTTGCGGGAAATACTGCCTCTCTTTCCTTCCTGCCAGCACAAGAACCAGCCAGCGTAAGCCCATAATGTGTACTACACAGAAGACCTCACATATGAGATTCAGACGGTCAGCTGATGATGATGATGATCTTGTGAGAGCACCAGTCGTCGTGATAATATGCATCAAACGCAGTTCTGCTGGAGCGTCTGCGTGTAAATGTGTGAGCTGAACACACTGAAGGAAGTGTGCTGTATTTAAAGCTCTGTGTGTTTGAGGATGACCGATGAAACATTAGCCATAATTAGATGTCATATCTCAGCGCACTGAGGCATGCTGGTCCTCTCTGGCTTCATTTCTGGTCCTAGTAAAAACACAAGTAAAATGTGTGCCCCTTATTTCTCCCAAATGTTGTGTTTTTCCATTTAAATATTTCTGTATTCCATTTTAATAGTTGAATTATATTGTAACAATCAAAAAAGGATGTCTAATAAAGTAAACTTTAACAATTTATGAGTTTATTAATGTTTTAACAATAATAGTGCCCTGTGATTTTTATTTTTTCCTACAGATATTCGGTTTTGTTGGTTTTATTTCTTTCTGGATTCTGTGTTCTACGATTTATTGCAATGTTACTCTCCCAAATGTTGGTAATCTAATGAATGCATAAAACAATGTAAATGATCTTTTAAAATGTAGTCAAATTAAATGTGTGTCCTTGTGTGTGACAGGGTCGACATGTGAAGACAGGACAGCTGGCAGCCATCAAGGTCATGGATGTGACGGAGGTACGAGACCAGTGAGAGAAACACACGTTCATGTCTTCATGCATTCACACTCTGAACAGACATGCTCGTCTCTGTCAGTCACAACATGACCAGAAAGCAATGACGCCGCTGCACAATTCCTTGTGTTTGAATATAATCATGATTTCTGCTTCTCTTGACTGATTAAGCATAACTGTTTGCGATTGCCACTGGTTATTTATCCTGAAGAAATGGTTGCCATAGAAATGCACTTACGCAACATTCATGCCACAAGGTCACAATACAAAGTCTGGTTTGGTTGTTGTTTAAATAGAAAAACATAAACATAATTTACAACTGTTGGAGTTAATATAATAACAGCAGCCGTTCACAGGAGTTTCTTCTGCTCATCAAGGCTGCATTTATTTGATCAAAATACAGGAAAAAATGTAATATTGTGAAATATTATTATGATGTAAAATAACGTTTTTCTATTTTAATGTACATTGAAATGTAATTTATTTCTGTGATGTGCAGCTGAATTTTCAGCATCAATACTCCAGTCTTCAGTGTCACATGATCTTCAGAAATCAGTATAATATGCTGATTTATTATCAGTGCTGGAAACTGTTGTGCTGCTTCATATTTTTTTTGGAACCTGTGATACTTTTTTTCAGGATTCTTTGTTGAATAAAAAGTTAAAAAGGAGAGCATTTATTTAAAATAGAAATCTTTTCTAACAATATACACTACCGTTCAAAAGTTTGGGGTCTGTAAATTGTTATTCTTTCTTTTTTTTTAAAGAAATTAACTTTTATTCAGCAAGGATTTGTTAAATTGATAAGAAGTGATAGCAAATATTTACATTGTTAGAAAAGATTTATATTTTGAATAAATGCTGTTCTTTTTAACTTTTTATTCATCAAAGAAT